AGGCAGGTTTATATAGATATCTCAAAACAATTCTATCCCTTTGACATATCTGCTGTACACCTTCTCTTAGACTTCAGCTTTTATACTTTTATGAATAAATACAAAACGTTGGAACCACAAGACACAACCCATCAGTCAACAACAACAACAAACAACAACAACAACAACAACAATTCCTAACACACTACTTGACAGTGAGCATGACAAAAGAGGATAGAGAATTGAATAGAGCACTGGAACAACGGCAAAGGAATCTCAGAAAATCCCTAGGAGACGCTCAGCCTTATTTTACAATCGCAGAGCTAAGGTCGGCTATCTCTTCACTGAAAACCTGAAGGTCACCAGGCCCTAACAATATCCCTCCAACCTTCCTGAAACACCTAGACCCAAAAGCCCTTGAAACGCTTTTTCTCATCTTCAACATGACCTTCCTCTCAGTGGACAGCAGTTTTTTCTGGGATGACAACAAAAGGAAATGTTACCTGAGGGAGGCAGTGACCTTGACGAGAAACTCTCTTCTCAGAGTCAAAGATAAAATGCAAAACTTAAATACATCAGCCACACATACACACATAACAACAACAACAACTAAAACAAGAACAACAAAAAAGAACAGATTACAACACAACAGCAAATTCACCTTAATCCAAACAGTTTCGTTCATGAAAGAGAAAGGCATGGGTCTCTCATCGCCTGGCTTCACCTCCGTACAGCTGAAATCAATGCTCCTTTTGTCCAGTCTAGGAGGAGTGCCTGCAACAAAGTTCAGGGGGTGTTGAGTAGCAAAATCAAGACTTCTGCTCTAAAGGCCACTTGTCCAAGATAATCACCTGTGCAAACAACCACTTATCACTCCCCCCCCTCTTACATTTTTTTACATTATGACATCCACCTGTCTAAGACAACCACTTTTCTCCTCTGCAATGGGTGGCCATATTGGACAATTTCAACTCCACTTTTAACAAAAACAACGCGAGACGAGAGAAGTTTGTCATAGCCTTGGCCATTGTCAATTTACACTTTCTGAAAGCAGCCGATAATATATGGCGAAAACTTGTGCACCAACCTGTTTTGAGTCTGCCCATGGTGAACCCAGCTTTCTCAATTGTCCTGGCTAGACCAACAGCCGGTTCATCTCCAATCCTCCCTGCAGGTCGTTGAGTTAAGCCGATGTTGATGCTACCACGCAGGAAGGTCCCAGCAGTCAACACGACCGTCGAAGAGGGAATTACTTCCCCAGAATCTGCAAGAACCACAAAAACAAATACAAAATAAGCAAGATCTGAAAGCTAAATTAAGGTTATGTTAAAGTCAATGTTAATGTATTTCTTAATCGGGAACAAAGAAAGGAGAGGCCGGCTGACCTCATGCAGTAGTGAGAGCCGTAAAACTCTTACAAAAACAAATCAACAAGTGATAAAGGTCCTACACTCACCTAGAACAACCCCACAGCACTGCACGCTAGAGCCAGACTCCGATGGACCTTCTTGAGTGACCAGATCCTCCACGGCTGCAGCACGCACGGTCAGGTTGGGCGTAGCCAAAACCTCCTCTTGAACCTGGCGCTTGTACAGTTCTCGATCAATCTGAGCTCGAGGACCCTGAGAATACAGAGATTACAGTGCATCTTCCAGATGATCCAATTAGCACAAATACTGTTAATCCAAATATTTAGTGCTTCGCTAAGATATAGGAGTCTTCAAAAGAACCCCATTAAACATCTATTTACACTTGACCCTTTCCACACTTCAAGAATGTAAGACAGAACCCCCTACCCCATGCATGCACAATCTTCAAGCTGAACTTCCACAGATTTTGTATGTTACACAGGTATACCGTTTACATTAATGTATAATGCTGTTTATTTGAAGGCATACTAAAAGCCTTCAAAGAAGTTCTGAACAAGATGTCTCTTCTAAATTTCAATATGACAGAAAACCAGAAAATAAGAGAACAGATCCCTGCTCAGTTGCTGAACTAAAATGGAAATACAAAAAAGCCCACCGGACCCTGAAGCTGAGCTGATCTGGAATATAAATCTCAATAGCAGAAATTCATTTGTAATTTTTACTTTACTTTAATTAAGAGCATTCCTTATAATATGTTTCCAAACATTCACCAGATCATGCTTTCAGCTGCACACATAGAATCAAATGCAGTATATAAAACAAAAGAATATGTGTCATGACGTGGTGGAATCAGGCGCTCGTCAATTTTTGAGTATATGGGGTAATACGTATCATCTTAAAGCCTATTCATTTGCTTTCCTTTTGGTGTATATAGAAGTCGAAATATTTGAGATTGAAGGGAGTCAGGGTCGTCTGGTTTCAGAGGTGAAATAAGCGAGAAAATGGCCGTCAAAGTTTGGTAATTTCCATAGCCTGGGAGTCTTTGGAAACTGAAAATTTACATTGCACATTAAAGGGGTTGAGCCAAAAAAAAAAGAAAAAGAAAAAATTGGCCATCAGCCAAAAAATGCCTATTTCATTGATTTCATTATTTTTACATGCCCATGACTTCACCACGACGCCTCACATATGTGTTTCAAATTTCTTATACACAAAAAAACAACAATGAACACTTACCCAAACTGCAGGACCTTTCTTTTTGTTGAGCATCTTGTACTGCACCCCTGATTTGTCTAATAAGGAGATGAAAGAAAGAACAAGAGAGATATGGTTTAGTCGAACATCAGCTCATAATAGCAATTCATGAGAAGTCGAAGAAAATTTTCATTAAAAATGGTCATATCTTTCAAACAAAGGGTAAAGTGAAAGCAATACAGGAATGGAAAATGAAGTCCAAAAAGTAGGAATGTCATCAACTTACCACATATTCTGGCACATACTCCTCCTAAAGCATCAATTTCTTTCATCAGATGTCCCTTCCCAATGCCACCAAAAGATGGGTTGCATGACATTTCTCCTGCAACAAAAATTATAACAATTGTTATATTCTTAAAAAAGAAGCTGCATTCAGAGTTGTCAAAAGGAACCGTCTGCCTCTATTTTTGACCTGATCTTCCTTGTTCGAAGACCATTTTGGCTGACCATATCTCCATCATCATTATCACCTTTTAAAAAAATACGACATAAAGAAATTGTCAAGAAAATCAACTATAGCATAAGAACATACAAATGTTCAAAATTTTATAATACATATCTAGGAAAGGCCCAAAATCTCGTCAAGAAGCTTTAACTAGAAGAAACTCACCATTGTCACCACCATCAATGACTAAAAAGCAGCTAATTTTTAATTACGCTTAACTTCAGGTCAAGGAGAAAAGACAAGTTACTGTACCAATGGTGCTCAGTTTGTGCGTCAGCAGCAGTGTGTTGACTCCCATTCTCGCTGAAGCACACGCAGCCTCGGTTCCTGCATGACCTCCTCCCACAACAATCACATCAAATGTGTTCTCATTCTTACGCTCTGCTGCATTAGAATAATACCTGATGAGAGATCATGTTGCATATCTAAAAGCATAAATATCACAGAGCCAAGTACAATTTTTGAATCAAAATGATCAAGCACAGTTCTGAACAACCAGTGTCTGTGGTGTAGCCGTTATGTACTTCCGTGTCAAAAACAGGAGACCGGAGATTGATTCACGAGTTGGGAGAAATGTTTATCTAATATCTCTGGCTTTCTGCTGCGATGTTGTATACCTCTCAGCCAGGGATTGACCTGACAGGCAGGATCTGACGCCCGCCTCCTAAATTATCTAAAATGTGCTGATAGTGAAATGAAAATACATAGAAAAAAAAAATAAGACTTGTATTTATAAGTAGGTGGATGAATAAAATGTTCAACAATTTTTCTCAATATATTTGTACACAGTCAACTTTTACATATGAATCTCTCTTTCTCTCTCTCTGTCTGTCTATCTGTCTGTCTCTCTCTTTCTCTCTCTCTCTCTCACACACACACACACACACACACCCACCCACCCACACACACATCAATCATCTGCGTGTGTCACTCCCTCACAGTTTACGGTTCACACTGATAAAATGATCATGGTAACTACAAGTAAAATGTTAATTTGTACAACAGGTCAATATCACAAATTTGAAACAATAACAATGAGATATCAAATCAACATCAAATTTACTCACGCTCTTCCAGAATGAGCCAAATGCCTTTTCAAAGCAAAGCAAACAGACCATGATGTTCTGCACTTTAATTTAATCATCATCATCAATATCAGTCTTTCGGGCCTGCTGTTTTGTAAGTTCCAAACGAAACACTTTTCCTTCAGTCACCTAAGAGCAAAGAGACACAAAAACGACCATTACTCAAAGGAAACAGAATCATTGGCAGGATCTTGAGTCAAAAATAGTAATAAAAAGGGATTCACTAACAGGGTAATAGTGCTTGACTGTCTCAATTACAATGGCTAAGGCTAGTTTCAATAAAATGAGCCCAATCCTGAAAAATAGAAACATCTCAATGAACACCAAAATGAAAGTCCGGAAATGCTATGTTTGGTCAACCCTTCTATATGGCAGTGAATGCTGGACAATCATTAAAGACAGTGAAAATAACATAGAAGCAACAGAAATGTGGTTGCTTTAGAGACTGCAAGAGTACTGTGGAAGGAAAAGAAATTAAACGAGGTAGTGCTTGATGAAGCCCACGTGGGACGCTCAATGCTAAAAACAATCAGGAAACGACAAATAAATGCAGTTTTGGGACACCTGAATAGACATTATAAGGGTCTTGAACATCTAGCTCTCACTGTCAAAATTGAGGGCAAGCGAGGCAGGGGTAGGCCCAGAACAACATACTTAGGGAACCTAAACAAATGGGTAACGGAAAGATCAGGTAAACGTAGTTTTTTTGGGAGCATCCGAGCAAAGGAATGAATGGAGAACCATGATCGTCGACGTCTGTCGCAGATCTGGCACTGGATGATGATTATTATTATTAATAATTTATGGCTTGTGGGTCTGACAATAACCAAAGATCTAGGGCCTACATTGATAGAGGAAAATATCTTTCAAGCAAGGAAAATAGATAATTATTCTTTGAGGAATTAAAGGTTAGAAAGGATACCTCGCTGCTTCTGCTGTGGCTGATGAGACTAGTTCTAGCAGAGAAAAGTTCCCCACACTTTGAGCATTCAAAATTTCCACCACTTCCACTGATGTTGCCAAGGTCAGTGGATAGATATGATTTTTGGCTACCCTGTGTGTGTGTGGGGGG